TAAAGTTGAATATCAAACTTGTTGAGGCGCAGTTTAGAGTTAATTGCAGTAATGTAATCCTGGTTACAAGCTACGCATGCAGAGTGGTTTTCATGATATTGCACAGTATTGCCTTATATTTCTGTTTTTGTTTTCAGTTTGATGTTGACTAGAAAATAATGAATACTATTTTAGGGGTTATTGAAAACCACTCTATGGAAGAAAAAGGAGAGATTTTTGTATCTAATTCTGAATTAACAGTTTCAATCTCAATTTATACAATAAATCAAAACTGAAAAAGTCATCGTAGTTCGACTGCATGGATTCTTCGTATAAAAAAAAACACTCGAAAAAACTTTCATTATTACGATCTATACTGTAAAATGAACGTCCAGACCTTTAAACAAATCTAAAGAGGAGGTCTGGAAACGAAGCTAGCTTATGGGCACAGAGAGCCCAAGCATTTTTAGGAGAATTTCGAGCGGAGTCTCCTCCCTCGCCACTATATATATATAGGGAGGGGAAATTTTTTAAACCCCATTTATAATGCATTGTGACACTGAATACAATAAAAGTAGACTATTTTTTTAAGTAAAATTTTATTTTTAACTATCATAGTTTTCAAAGTCATTGCTTGGGCTCCCTGTGATATGGGTAGGATTCCTTGACGTATTAATGACGATGATGCTGAAAAACCCACATTTATGAATACGCGAAAATTATCGTATATAAGGTTTTGTTATTTAGCTGTAAGGTTTTAGAAGAGTTAGACAGTTGGCAGAGGTGCTATGTGATGAATGTATATATATTCTATATTCATCTTTTATTKATGGTGACGTTTGTATTGACGTATATGACGAAGTAGCAAATTCTATACTTTCGGGGGAACGTAGTGCGGGCTGCATAAGTGTTGGTCACGTGCAAGTGTTAGCGACTTACTTCTTATTTTTACAGCACGATGACATAGTGGTTACCCGTCTTAAGACGGGAGTAACCACAAAAAGAAAGCGGCCTTTTATTTAGTAAAACAGACTTACACGTAAAGGTTGCAAACAGTTACAAACATCTGACTGACACTGTCTCTTCTGTGAGAAGCAGCGTACTTACCGTGCTTGCAAAGATTGCAGTTGCTGTTGCATTTCCTGAAAGGAAATTTTGAATGCATACAATTAATCTGAATAGGCAACAGGCAATTTGTTTTCTTTATTATTTGATATAAAATGAACGATGATTTCTAGTTAAAAAGATGATGGCACGCTACTTACACTGAGTTTGATGTTCGTTTCTTCTTTTCTGTTTTCAATTCTGATCAACAAAATCAGTAAAAAAGCTATTTAAGCGAGTGTAGAAAACATCAATAGCAGTGAAAGACTTACTTATTAAACTGAATCGCTCCCTCCTTGATGACATCCTGAAATCATCAAATACYACAAACATAATGACACATGCACTAAACTCAGAACAAACCATAGGTATCACACGAGCAGTTTAATAGAGAAATGCTATATGGGAATTTCCAACTCTCGACAGCTTTTCATCATAACAATAGAACTTGTAAAGTGTATTATTCTTTTTTTTCTCGGCTTTGAACGAGTAATATTACAAGTCAAGAACTCGAAAAGTAAAAATCAACCGATATTCTCCCTTGGCCGACTCTTGGCCTGATCGTGTGCATTCGTTCTTTTCTTTATTCTCTCAATCAATAGTTAGTGGGTGGCCTATGGCCTGAAACTCACAAGTAAATCAAGTGAATGCACTAATAGATTTAAGATGAAAATGTTTCGATTGTTGTTATTCCCACAAATTATCTATCAAAATGTCCAAAACTGACACAAAGGCAAGGCTATCTGTTATCATGACTGTGTAAAGTGTCTTTATAAAAACTGCTCAGTTGAGTAGAAGATCTGGCTTCTTAACAACACACTGGCCGCTAAGGCCATCGACATAATGAAGGAAGGTAAACTTATATTTAAAAAACAATACTTCCTTGTAGTTGACATCAAAATCTTTTACTTACGAAAAGATTCTTTTCCCTTGTTTCGCACCTACGTTGAAAGAAAAATAGAGTTTGACACTGAATAACCGAAATGAAATTTAGAAGCTGAATAACCAAGGATCAATATTATAGAGCTACTTACTGAGTTCGATATATCAAATATTGATCTTTAAGCATCTACAAAATGGTACAGGAAAAAAAATCAACAATACATAAAGGCGTCGTTTAAAATTTGTGTTTTAGGAATTTAGCTATTTTTTCAGTCCTGATTTTGTTTTGTGTAATTCTGTTCTATTTTGGCATTGATTGTACGATGCATTGCAGGATTTGCAGTAAAATACACCTAATTGAAAAAACGTAGTCGTGTTCGAAAAGGTCACATCATAGAAGCTAAGACCGAAAGGKATTTTGAGTACCACTAAATTGGGATTACATTTGCATGTACGGCGTATAAGTGCACCGTAAATCAAGTAGCTAGAGCTAGTAAGAWTAACAGCATGCTAGTCTTTAATGCTGGAGAGCTGTTTGTATGAAATTAGCCAAATTGTTTGTCWTCCCAAGTACCCTTTCGGTCTTAGCTTCTATGATTTGACCTTTTTGGACCCGACAACGTTTCTTCAATTAGGTGTACAATCGACTTTGTTATATTGGTAAATTATTTTCACTGTTTTYTCGTTCTCTTATTGGACGATTCGGTGTCACGTGTCCGGAGCTAAAATCAATTGTTGACTGATCGGTCAACAGTTTGGCGATTGTTGACCGCTTAGTCATTGGCGGGAAAAGGCCGCCTCGCGTCGAGTAACAGTTAGTAAAGGCGGGAATTGTTTTTTGCTGCTTTCGACTGTTTACAAAATGGAGCCGGCATCAAAAAGATTTTCAAATCTTAGTCAAGAAATAGACGAAATGGTTGTCAACAAACACTCGGAAAACACYAACAAAGCTACAAAAGACTGCTACGACTCTGATAGAATTCTGCAGATAAACCAAGAGAGAAACGGTGAATTTGGACAAATGTCACGTTAAATTTCTATTCAGGAACTCATTGACTGTTTCATTCATAAAGTTTTGCTATTTTTTTTGCATTTGTATATTTATATTATTTTTATTTTCAAGCACAATGCAGTAATCTAAACGCTCACCATCTTGCTATTTTGTCGCGACGTTCACAGTTATTATATTCACAATAAAGTATTATTGGAAATCATCTTGCAATGTGTTTTGATTTATTTTTATTCACATACCAATATACCGGCGTACCTCGGGAAACATTGAGATTCTCGGGAAACAAAACTAACCGTTTCCCGAGGGAACAGTCATTAAGTGTATACTGTTAACTGTGATATTTGATATCAAGGARCATGTAGGCATTTTGTCTGCGCACGCGCACGAAAAACACCATTAGTGGTACCGCTGGTATGAGCCCGTCATGGACGGCCGCGTCGCTTGCCGCCAGCAGATTCGCGCCCTTTTGTAGATGAGCGCGAAGTGAACAAAAAATAATCATTCGCAGTGGACACTGGTGAAAAACGCACTGCGCATGTCCACTGTTCCCGCTGAAATCTGYCTAATTTCCTTTGTAAAGCGATTTTTGTGTAAGTTTTTTACAATTTATAAGCTCGTTCACCGATATATAAGATTCATATTTCCATCAATCATTGTTCATGATAGGTCCTTTTAGYATGTASTTTCTATTTTTATCTTGTCATTTCTATTTTGAGAAAATGAGGTTTTTCGTAGTGTTTTCTGTGTTGACGCTGTAAATCGGCAGGCGCTCTGTTTACAGATTTCAAGACRCGAGCGCCCACTGGCGGGAAAGCTGTGGGCATGCGCAGTGCGTTTTTCACCAGTGTCTTCGCAGTGTACTCTTTTTACCGAGTTTGTTAAGTCAAAGAGTGGTTGTGTTGTTTGTGGAAAAAAAAGTCAGCCAAGTCCTTTTTTAATGTTCGATCTTGTGTCGACGAATCCAGGGATTCATACGCTATAATAACACAGTGAGTAGCAGTCATCTATTTTACTAGAGTACTTACCAACATTTGTTTTTCCTTCTCTTCAAAGCTACAGAAAATGGAATGTGATGTTTTAGTTTNTGCACAGTTTTAGTGTTTGTACTCTAAGCTTAACTGAGTTATATTTAAACGTCACTTACTTTTTTTGAACTATTTGAAACTTTGCTTGCATTTGCTGAAAGGAAAATATAAAATTTCAATCTGAAATTAATTGCTTTTTTGTTGTTAGTCGCATGTCTTTAAAAGATTCACTTTTTTCCGTCTTTTTTTGTTTAAAATTGCCATTTTTTTGCTAGCCGTTTTAATGTGTACCTGGTACATCTTTGGATTGATTGTCTTGCTTCACGTTGAACGCAGAATCAGTCATAGGCATAGTGAGATCAATAACACTTGTCAATGTCATCTTTACAGCGAAAATCGCGACTTCTTCATTTCGAAGTGTGTAAAAGATTTTTATCTAAATTAAAGGGGCGGATCTTTTTGTAAACTCGCTCAGTAATTGGCAGATTTGCAGTAAGGTCGAGTCCGCCCCAAAGTCGTAGAAAAACCTAAATCCTAACTATATGATTTCTTTTGAACATTGTAGTCGCGATGCAACGGTTTTTGCTGTAATCAATTTTCTAGTTTTACTTGACCATTTTGTCTATTTTACCTATAGTTATTTTATTATTATTCTTTTTATTAGAGTCATTCGGACAACGGTTGACATCAGAGTGGATTRAGATTTTACTACCCTCATCGTTTGCCTTGAGAAGAAAAAACGCAAAACGTATATCAAGTTTTTTACTTGGAAGTAAGTGTCGACTGTTGTCTGCTAATTTTCTCGATTTTTAAAGTTTTAAATTGTATGAAACTTTCAGGTATTATAGCAAAAAAAAACTTAGTAACAATTGGTATTTTGTTTGTTTCTATATGTGGCATATATATATATCGCTAGAGGAAGCCCAAAATTAAAGCACAGAGATCCTGCACGAATGGCCGGCAATTCTTGTATGTACCGAATAAAAACGTAATAAAAAACGTAAGGACAACTTACCTGGCAATAATTCTCGTATTTAGATAGTTGTATTTCTCTTTCCTATGGTGAAAATGCAAAACGCATACTGAATAAAAGAATCATAAAAAAATTAACAAATTGCAACTCCGGCTACTTTACCTTTAATCTTTGAACAGCTTCTGCTTTTGTTAAATAATCTGAAATGATAATAATTACRATAAATTGGTTTAGTCACGTGACTATTACATGATCTTACTGTAACCTGATCACATGATTGCTAAAGATACCTACCAAACGGGTCTTCTGTGACAAATTCCATGATGCTATCGGAATTAAGTACAAATATTGCTATAAAGCAAAATGTTATTTGTGCGAATTAGAAAAAGTTATTTTGTTTAAGAGGATATACTTTGCAATAACCTTTCATACAATTTGGACAAAAATATCGCAGGGCGAGCAAGCCATTGTGACGTCATATATATAGAGGAGCAAACCGCTGGTGTGAGAAATTGTGTATTCATTTGAGCACGCTCTACACAGGAATCACAGGCATTTTGTACGGCATTCTAAATAATCTGCAAGTTGAAATATGTTTCTAATATCTCCCACTCTTGGAATTCACTTCTTACGCGGGCTACCAGAGCGTCCGATGATAATTTTCCATGATAATTTTCTCGCTTTCTGATTGGTCGAGAGCCGTGACAAATAAAAGTACATACCACGGTCTAGCTACTTTGCTCGCGATTAACTTTGATACTTTAAAGAAAAACAATGGACTTTCCCAACTTTTCTGTCCATTGAGAATTTAATTCCTGACTAGGCAGACAAAGCGAAAAACGTATGTATCATGATTTATCTATGATTGAAATAATGGTTTTGGTTCAGTTTGAAATGCGATTCCAGTTGTTCTTTAAGCTTGCAAAACGCAGTACTGGTAAAATTACAATTATTTGTGGTAAAAAACAAAAGTTACAATAGTTTCTTGTGGTGTGTCCTCTTATTTACCACAGTTGGGATCATCTCATCGTCTAAATTGTTGTACATCTACAACAATCTAGACGATTCGATGACCCAACTGTGGTAAATAAGAGGCCATACCACGCGAAACTATYGTAAATTTGTTAATTTATCATGTAAAAGTTTGGGAAAGCAAAGGTAACCCACATAACGAAAAAATTGTCACGTGGTTTAAACCTTATATGATTTTAGCACGTCATGTGATACCATCCGAGAGAATCATTGGACTAGAACTGTCGTACGACTTCCATATTTGGTTGTGCGTGTACACGGCGCTGATGTCCCTAATATGTGGAGAAGAACTTGGAAAATTTTCAGAGACTTAAACTTAACTGAAAAGAAATTTGTGACTCGTAGAGTCTGTCGTGCGACTTCCATATATGAATGTGCATAT